CCGGTTTTTTATATCCCAGAAATTGCTTATACGATTTATAATAATATCTGTTAATTTAAAATAATTTTTTGCAACAAAATACCCGAGTTATCACAAATAATACGCAAGTACCCGAATACAGTAAAATCTGCCTTATTTTTCGTAAGCACTTTCTGGGGACCACAACTTCTTCGATCTTTTTTTATCAAAAATTAATATAATTATAATAATAGAAGTATCAGACTTTAAATCGAGCCACATTATTTCGAAATAGCACACCAAATAAACGAGTTGTGTCAAAAATAATGCAAGTAACCGAAATTCCTCCTTCTAAGCATATTTTCTGTCATCACTTTCTCAGGGGGTTTATTTTTTAAGTAACCTGTGTATTTTTAATATATGTCCAAATTATGAAAGATCAACCCTTGTACTTAAAAATAATATAAGCTTTATCGCTATATCTCACCTAATACCTGAGATATCGGCAAAATTAACAAAGTAACCGATTTTTTTACTACAAAGAATTTTTTGGGTAATCACTTTCCGGAGCTCATAACTTTTAAAGTAATCGGTGTATTTTTAACAAACAACACAATTATGAAAGCTTTAAGTATTGCCATTAAACTCACATACAATTATTTGAATAAAAATCAACAAATACCCGAAATATTCTGAAAATGACACTTGTACCCGAAAACTGCAATATTACACCTTTTTTAAGTAATCACATTCCAGTGAGCATAACTTTGGATATAGTTGGTGGATTTTCATAATTCTTTTTATTTATAAGAGAGGAAAGAAGAAACTAAAGAAAAGTCTGGCGATAGTTTGATGTAACCCCATAAATAGGCATGATATTGCAAAAATTACCCAAGTACCCAAATTTTCTCAATTAAGGAAATTTTTCCGCGATCAATTTGTTTTACCCTTAACTATTAAAATTATCAGACTATTTCAAATAAAATACATTGGATATGAAAGATGAGAGTCTGATCTTTAGATAACAAAAGCTTTTTTTCGCAAATCTCCTGAAGTACTCGAGATATCATCCAAAATACACGAGTACCCGAATTTTCTAGTTGCAAGTATTTTTGGCGTAATCAAATTGTAGGGGCTATAACTTTTGAAGTAATCGGAGTATTTCAATAAAATAACATACGTGTGAAAGAAGAATATCCCTTGTATAAGTCCCCAATGTTTTATAGGAAAAGGTTTTCAACTTTCCGAGATATTGCTAAAAATAAACGAGTACCCGAATTTTCTAATTAAAAGGATTTTTTTTTGGTAATCCATTTATAAAGCCCACAACTTTTAAAGTAATCGGTGTATTTTAATGAAATAAATTGATTATGACAGTCGAATATCTCAGCTATAAGCCCACATGATTTTATGGACATGGCTCTTCAAGTACTCAAGATATTGCCAAAAATAAACGATTACCCGAATTTACTAATTTGCAGACATTTTTCAGTTATAATTTTCTAATACCCATAACCTCTTAAATAAGCGGAGTATTTCGATAAAATAACTTGTTTCTGATAAAGGAAGATCTCAATCATAAACTTACATGATTTTATGGACACAGCTCATCAAGTACTCGTGATATTGTCAAAAATAAACGATTACCCGAATTTTCTAGTTTGCAGACATTTTTCAGTAATCATTTTCTAATACCCATAGCTTCTTAAGTAAGCGGAGTACTTTCATAAAATATCTTGTTTCTGAAAGTAGAATATCTTATCTATAAGCCCACAAAGTTTTATGGATACAGATCTTCAATACTCGAGATATTGCAAAAATTACTCAAGTAATCGAATTCTCTAATGTACGGAATTTTTTCTGTAATCAATTTGTATAGCTCATAACTTTCGAAGTAAGCGGTGAATTTTGATGAAATAAATTCCATAGGAAAGAGAAATATCTTATACATAAGTCTGCATAGTTTTATGGACACGACTCTTCAGCTACTTGAGATATTGCCAAAAATATACGAGTACCCGAATTATCTAGTTCAAAACATTTTTTCTGCAATCAATTTTCAAAGGCCATAACTTTAAAAATAAGCGATATATTTGAATAAAAAACCTTAAGGAAAAAGAGGAGAGTATAATCTTTAAATAACCGAGGTTATTATTGACGGAGCTCATCGGGTACCCGAGTTATTGCCCACAATATACGAGTACCCGAATTTTCTAGTTCAAAGCATTTTTTTCAGCAATCAATTTGTAAAGGCCATAATTTTTAAAGTAAGTAGTTGTATGCCAATTAAATAACTTGAAAAGAAAGAGGCGAGTCTGATCTTTAAATAACCGAACTTATTATTGACGTAGCTCATCGGGTACCCGAGATATTGCCCACAATACATGAGTACCCCAATTTTCACACTCAAAGCAGGTTTTTGGTTACTAATTTGTATTGCCCATAACTTTATAAGTAATCGGTGTATTTCAATGAAATAAAATGCTTATGAAAGTAGAATATCTCATCTATATAAATCCTCATTGTTTGTGAACTTAGCTCACCAGGTACCCGAGATATTGCCATAAGCACACGATTACCCAAATGTACCCTTTTTTGTCTAATTTTTCGCAAACATTTTCCGCAGTTCATAACTTCTAAAATAATCGTTCTACACTAATATAAAACATATCTAAAATTTTAGGCGGAATATCTAAGCTTCCAATTTGTATTAAAATTTTGAGGAATATATGACATCTGTTGTCCTATAAAAAATAAATAAATATATTTTTTTTAATAACAAATTTTATAGCAAATATGGCAATACGTCTGCTATTTATGTTTACACAAATGTTTGGCTGTTATTTTTTTGCCGTGTTATTAAAGTTTTTGTTAAAATATTTGTTTTAGTATTGTTTTTTATTTATTAAAACTAAATCCAGCTTTGTAAATATTTAATTTAGTCGATTATAAAAAAAAACATAACCTAACTATTATTTAAGTTTGTTTTTCAATAGAAGGAAATGCTTGTTTGGCATAGATTAAAAAAAAATACGCTGGAGTAGAAAATAATATTTCTAAAGAAATTATGGGATAGCCTCTGAAAATAATATTTTGAATAAATCGATCCCTTCTATAGCCTCTGAAATTAAGAGATCCCGAAAAATATATTTTTTTTAATCTATGCACAGATAAACTCATAGGGGAGTTGCCAATCTCCTACTAGGCGCATCTTCCCGGGTGGTGGATGGGAAGGGAGTCTCCATGATGTGCAGAGTGAAACTGACCTTCGTGGAAACCCACGGATCCCCGCGGACCAAAATGGTTCGGGATAGTGCTCTTAAATAAATCAACTACGATGGTTAAAAGAAGTAAAAAGAATAAAGTTACGGTGCAGGGAGTTAATAACCCAATACCGGCGGCAATCGTTGGTGAGCTCACAAGCCACGTGTCGTCGATATCAAGCGATTGTGAAACGGCTGTTCTAGGTGTGGATGCCTTGGCACCTGCAGCTGTATCTGTTACAAGTGCATCAATTCAAAACCAAAATGTTGACGAACCGACAAATTCCGTTGGCAAATGAGCATGTCAAGACTGATGAAAATCAGTCTCTGGCTGACAGGACTGTAGTTCTGGGAGGGGACGACCTACACGGGACTCTACGCGCTATCCGCGATAGTCTAGAGGAGTAAAGTAAGGAACTCTTCGACCAGTTAGACAGACTGATACCGGAAGACCAATGTGGGGATACGCTTCCGGAGGAACTGCTACTGAATCTGATCCCATCGCCTTGGTTCAAGAGCCATATATATATAAAAATATGGTTTCTGGATTAAGGAATGCCAACTTTGACATATTCGCCGCGTCCATGGGGGACAAGGTGAGAACATGTATAGTAGGTAAGAAGAGTTTCAATCTAATCCTTCTATCTAATTACAGCAATGCTGACATGGAACATTCGACCGGGATGGCCACTCTGCTCTCTCTCTCTCCATGCTCACCATTTTCAATGGTGGGGTAGCAAGGACACTAATAAACGAGGTGAGTCCATTTTCGATTTCATTCTATCCGATAATTTACGTAAATGCAATTTGATTAGGTCTCTTAAATACTATCCTAGGCGTATGATTTGATTTTTTAAAAACATCTACATCTTTGTAGGGTCTTTGAAAAACAAAATTTGAGGTTAGGTTCATTTCCTTTCAATAAAAAAATACATTTTTTTTTAATTTTTATTAATAATTGTTTATATATTTATTGTTTTTAGAGAGGAAAAAGTTAATTGCATAAAAATATTGAATATATTTTTTTTTTCTTAAAAAATAACCAAAAACAGTGGGACAAAATAATAAAAAAATGAAAAAAAAAAATTAGAATGAAATTCTTATTTTTTTCAAAATTTAATGATGTAAATAATATATATGAAATAATATAAAAAACACTAAATTACGAAATAAAAAAAAAGATTTTTTTTTTGAAAATGGTATTTCAGAAAAAAATTTCCAAAAATTTACGAGAGGGGAAGAAAACATTCTCCCCACCACAAGGAACTTTGTGAGGAAAAGAAAATGGGGGAAAAGCAGGCAAAAGATTTCAAAAAATACCATCAGTTTTTTTTTTTAATTTTAAAATTTTTTTATTTTTTTCACATTTTTAAAAAAATTTCATTGGAAAAAACTAAAATAAAATATACATTATTTTTTTGGAAAAGCAAAGAGAAAAAATACAAAGAGAAAAATGGAAACCCAGTATTTATGGAAAGCAATAGAAGTTATTTTTTTTATAAATTTTTGTTATTTTGCAAAAAATAAAATTGAAAAAACAAACAGAACAGAACCATATAATAAATCAAAAAACAAAAACATTTTTTTTGTAGGGATTGAATTCAAAATACAAAAAATTCTAGAGGTCTTCTTTTTCAATATAAAAAATGGTGTTTTAAAGGTTATTAAGAAGAAGAGGAAGAAGAAGAGGGGGGTTGCTATTTTTATTTTGTAAGTATATGCGTGATTTCTTTTTTCAAATTTGCTTTTGTTGTAGCTTTTGTTTCATTCCTTCCTTCCTTTAGATATCATCAATATCAATTTCTTCACCATCATCATCGTCCTCTTCGATAACCTTCTTGGTAACCTGTGTTACCTGGGCCTTAAGCGGCTCAACACGAGCCCTATCATTATACTCAATCTCAACCTCTGAATCTTCTTCGTCTTCTTCTTCGGACGAGTCCTCCTCCTCGGCCTCCTTCAACCACTGAATGAACGGTTTGGCCTTCTCATGAATTTCGGTGGCCACCTCACGGGATACATATTTCTTGCTAACCTTCAGCGACCAATCCAAAATCACCTTTTCATCCAAAATATCCGTGTCATAGAAGAGCTTGAAAATACCGGCAACCTTAGGCATCAATTTCTCCTTGTGCAGGGCAATAATTTGTTCGATGCCACCGATCAGATAACGTTGAGCCTTGGGATTGTTGTGAGTGAAGCGCAACAATAGGACACGATGTTTGCGTACATCTTGAGTCAAATTATCGGAGAAGAGCAATTCAGCCAAGACCAAGGGGGCCTTATGGACAATATCCAAACGTTCGGCTTCGATCAGCAGCTCTTTGTGTTCGGCCACGGCATCCAATTTGCCATCGTCCAACTTCTTTTTGACGATTTCATAGAAAATATCGATACGTTCCTTTTCGGTTTTATCGTAATCATCGGAAATGGTCATGCTCTTGGCGCCATCGGTTAAATCTTGGAGACGAGCGCGAATGGCTTCCTGGAAAGGAAGGAAAAAATGAATATAAAATTAGAAATTGTTCCTCTAAATATATCGATAATTATTCTGAAATATTGATAAAAAAATTTTCCATAGTAGAGAAAAATTATCGATAACACTTTTTGTGTAGAGAAAAATTATCGATAACACTTTTTTCTGTAGACAAAAATTATCGATAACATTTTTTCTGTAGAGAAAAAATATCGATAACACTTTTTCTGTTATAGAAAATTTGTCGATAGTAAATTTTCTTTGAAGAAAATTTATCGACAACATATTTTCTCTATAGAAAATTTATCGATAATAACTTTTCTCTATAGAAAAGTTATCGATAATAAATTTTCTCTATAGAAAATTTATCGATAATAAAATTTCTCTGTAGAAAATTTATCGATAATAAATTTTTGTTATAGAAAATTTATCGATAGTAAATTTTTTATTTCTTACAAAAAATTGTTATCGATTATTGTTTAATATAAAAAAATAATTATCGATAATTTTTTATTACAAAAAAATTATTATCGATAATTTTTTACTACAAAAAATTATTATCGATAATTTTTTATTACAAAAAAATTATTATCGATAATTTTTTGTTACAAAAAAATTATTATCGATAATTTTTTGTTACAAAAAAATATTATGGATCATTTTTTTACAAAAAAAAAAATATTATCGATAATCTTTTTTTGTTACAAAACAATTATTATCGATAATTATTTGCAACAAAAAATATTATTAGCGATAATTTTCTATACCAAAAATTTATAATCGATAATTTTTTGTTACATAAAAATTATTATCGATAATTTTTGGTTACAAAAAAATTATTATCGATAATTTTTTATTACAAAAAAATATTATCGATCATTTTTTTACAAAAAAAAAAAAATATTATCGATAATCTTTTTTTGTTGCAAAACAATTATTATCGATAATTATTTGCAACAAAAAATATTATTAGCGATAATTTTCTATACCAAAAATTTATTATCGATAATTTTTTGTTACATAAAAATTATTATCGATAATTTTTGTGTAGAGAAAAATTATTATCGATAATTTTTTATTACAAAAAAATTATTATCGATAATTTTTTGTTACAAAAAAATATTATCGATCATTTTTTTTACAAAAAAAATATTATCGATAATCTTTTTTTGTTACAAAACAATTATTATCGATAATTATTTGCAACAAAAAATATTATTAGCGATAATTTTCTATACCAAAAATTTATTATCGATAATTTTTTGTTACATAAAAATTATTATCGATAATTTTTGGTTACAAAAAAATTATTATCGATAATTTTTTATTACAAAAAAATATTATCGATCATTTTTTTACAAAAAAAAAAATATTATCGATAATCTTTTTTTGTTACAAAACAATTATTATCGATAATTATTTGCAACAAAAAATATTATTAGCGATAATTTTCTATACCAAAAATTTATTATCGATAATTTTTTGTTACATAAAAATTATTATCGATAATTTTTGGTTACAAAAAAATTATTATCGATAATTTTTGGTTACAAAAAAATTATTATCGATAATTTTTTGTTACAAAAAAATATTATCGATCATTTTTTTACAAAAAAAAAAAAATATTATCGATAATCTTTTTTGTTACAAAACAATTATTATCGATAATTATTTGCAACAAAAAATATTATTAGCGATAATTTTCTATACCAAAAATTTATTATCGATAATTTTTTGTTACATAAAAATTATTATCGATAATTTTTGGTTACAAAAAAATTATTATCGATAATTTTTGGTTACAAAAAAATTATTATCGATAATTTTTTGTTACAAAAAAATATTATCGATCATTTTTTTACAAAAAAAAAATATTATCGATAATCTTTTTTTGTTACAAAACAATTATTATCGATAATTATTTGCAACAAAAAATATTATTAGCGATAATTTTCTATACCAAAAATTTATTATCGATAATTTTTTGTTACAAAAAAATTATTATCGATAATTTTTTGTTACAAAAAAATTATTATCGATAATTTTTTGTTACAAAAAAATTATTATCGATAATTTTTTGTTACAAAAAAATTATTATCGATAATTTTCTATACGGAAAATTTACTATCGATAATTTTGCGTTAAAAAAATATATTATCGATAATTTTTTGTTACATAAAGATTATTATCGATAGTTATTTTTTACAAAAATTTAATATCGATTATTTTTGGTAACAAAAAAAAAATTAGTATCAATAATTTTTTGTTAAATAAAAATTATTATCGATAATTATTATTTACATAAATTTAATATCGATAATTTGTTGTTACAAAAAAATTATTATAGATATTTTTCTATACGGAAAATTTATTATCGATAATTTTGCGCTACCAAAAAAATTTATCGATAATTTTTGTTAAATAAAAATTATTATCGATAATTATTGGTTACAAAAATTTAATATCGATAATTTTTGGTTACAAAAATGTAATATCGATAATTTTTGGATACAAAAGAATTTTTATCGATAATTTTCTATACGGAAAATTTATTATCGATAATTTTTTGTTACATAAAAATTATTATCGATAATTTTTGGTTACAAAAATTTAATATCGATAATTTTTTATGAAAAAAAAATTATCTTCCTCACTCACCTTCGACACATC